GATCTTGTGCCAGTGTTGCTGCACTGCTGCCACCTCAACTCGTCGCACCCATCAACTTCGTCATTTACATCAGGTATTAAACTCCCCCAAATGCCCATCCCCTCCCCTCTCCCCCTCCAATGATAGGCCCCAGTGGTGTGATGTTCCCCTTTTTTCCCCGAGTCCAAGTGCACTCATTGGCTTCAATTCCCCACCTTATGAGTGAGAACATGCGCGCTGTTTTGTTTTCTGTTCTTTGTCGATAGTTTGCCCTAAGGAATGATGGTTCCAGCTGCATCCACTTGCTCCCTACATAAGGATCACAAACGTCATCCTGTTTTATGGGTCTGCATAGTACTTTCCATTGCGTGTATATGTGCCACATTTTCGATAATCCAGCTTTGGTCACTGATGCGAATTTGGGTTGGATTTCCAAGTCTTGCTATTGCTGAATTAGTGCCCCTGCAATAGAAACATAACCAGGTGCTGCATGTGTCTTTATAAGCAGCCCATGCATTTTAAAATCCTTTTGCCGCGTATTATACCCAGCTAATGGCGGTGATGGCTTGGCTCATATCGCTGCCCTACCACTCTAGTTCTAGGCATCCATTGAGGAATCGCCATACTGGCTTTTCATAATGCCTTGAAACTAGCTGTTTACAATCCCATCCCTTAAAAAAAAAAAAACTGTAAAAAGTGTTCCTATTTCTCCACATCGTCTTCCAGCACCTTGCTGCCTTTTCCGGACGTTGTTTTTAATGCATTGCCATTCTAACTGCCGTGTGAGATAGTACTTCTCCATTGTCCTGGTTTTGATTTGCCCATTTCTTTCTGATGGCCAGTGCATGATCGAGCACTTTGCTTCCATGTGTCTGGTTGGGCGTTAATGAATGCCTCTTCTTTTTTGGCAGGAAATGTCTGTGTCATATTTCTTTGGCCCACTTTTTTGATGAGGCTGTTTGTTTTTCTTTCTTGTAAATTTGTTTGAATTCTTTTGTAGGTTCTGGATAATAGCGCCTTCTCAATGAATACATTGCCCAAAAATTTTTCCCCCATTCGTAGTTCCTGTTCACTCTGGATGTATCTTCTTTTGATGTGCAAAGCTCTTTGTTTAATAATCCCTTTTCAGATGACATGATTGTATATTTAGAAAATCCCATTGTCTCAGCCCAAAATCTCCTTAAGCTGATAAGCAACTTCAACATTGTCCTTATTCTTAAGCATTCTTACTTGTTTATACTTTTAGCATACATAAATAACAGTGACTCTTCCCTTTTTAATTCATTTTCCAGAGGAGATCCACTTATTCTAAGCCTGGATAAAATAATCTACAGCTTGAGGTAGTGCAAAAAAAAACTGGGCTTAGAAATAGACTACAGTTGGATTTCTGGATCCATCATGTACTGGCTATGTGACTTTGTGCAAACCTTTAACCTCCTTGAGGCTCAATTACTTAATTTACAATGTAAAGATAAATAATAAAATATTGTCATTATTATGAGACTCAAATGATATGATGGATCTTTAAAATACTTTGAAAATGTAAAGGATTATGCTAATTCTACTTCCAATAAAGTTATTAATGTAAGTGAATGTTTATTATAATTCACAACAGAGAAATCATTTGTGCATTTTTTTCTTTTTCCTTTTGAGATATAAAATAGCATCCTAAAACTTAAATATATAATTTAAATCTTTCCATTAAAATTAAGAATAGGATATTCGAATATCAATGTTGGAATAGACCTTAGAGATAATCTAGTCTATCCCACATTACTGTATAAAAGGGGACAGTGAGGCCAAGAGGAAAAAGAAACCTTTTTTAGGTTATACAATCAGGCAGTGGTAAAATCAGGATTGGACCTCTGGTTCCCTTTCTTCCCATTCAATGTATTTCCTACTCTACTACAATGTCTTACCTAAATGGTCTTGTTGGGCTTTGTTAGGAAACTACTGTTCATCTCCAACTTTTCATTCACTGCTTTGAACCAAGATTTTAATATGAACTGTCAAGCAGGCTTCTCCTTGGTGGGAGATTACTTTTCACAAAGAGAATGACCTAGAAGGCAATTCTTTCACACATTTTACCTTCCTGCCAGTAGATTGTAAACCATTGCATGGCTACTGAGGCTATAGGTAGGACAACCAGAAAATGTGAACCAAGGCTGGAGGTCATGTTAGTTTTTCCTTAGGGATATACAGATATTGGTCTTGCTGGAGCAACAAATAGAAAATAAGTTAGTGACTAGCATATGGTAAATATTCCTTTAGTGTTCATTTTATTCCATTTCTCCTCACATTATGATAGAATGTTATTGCTTACAAAGTACTTTCCTATTTTTTATTTCAAGTTATTTTCACAACAAATACATGAGGTAAGGATTATTTTCATATTACAGATGAGAAAATTGAGGCTCCGAGAGAGTAAATTAATAGCCAAACTTTACATGGTAAACAAGAGAGCTGAGATTTAAACCTAGATTCTCTGATCTCAAGTGAAGGAATCTTTCCAGTATACCATAATGGCCTATGATTTTGCCATACTTAATGAATTCTGAAAAGTATTACTAAAAATGTGACTGTGAATTAATAAATGCCATGTGGAAGAAGTTCTAAAGATTGTAACTAAACTTACATATTTTATAAAAAATAAACATATCTCAACCTTTCTTTGAAACTATATAAATACTTTTTTTTTACCTTTTTTTTTAAAAAAAAAAAATACAAACGAGGTCTCACTATGTTGCACAGACTGGTCTTGAACTCCTAAGCTCAAGTGATCCTCTCGCTTTGGCCTCCCAAAATGCTGGGATTGCAGGCATGAGCCACCATGCCCAGACAGCCACCATGCCTGGTCAACTACCTAAATACTCCTAAATTATAAGAAGAGGCTTCAATTGCTTAGACTGATCAAGTGTCCAAAAGTATGCAACACAAGTCTAGAATCAGTTAGAATTAACTTTGCATTGCTGATTTAGCTAAACAAACAGATCTCAGAAGTTGGAAGGGTTCAATTCTACACTTACAAAGGATATACTTATTCTGGAAATTTTGGTTCTCACTTATGTATTAATAATATATGGAAAAATGCAGAAGGAAAAAGAAAAAAAAAAGAATCATAGATGCTTTATTCCTGAGAATCGTTGCTTCTTTCTCTAGTGCAATTTTTTTTAAGTTGCATAAATTGTGGTTGTGAAGTATTTTCTGAATATACCACGTGAAAAACTTTCCTCCAAAAACTAAAGTAGGGGCACAATGAAATGGAGGTAGAATTCTTCATAAGAAAAGCATGAAATGATATAGTCACATTTTTCTCTTACATATTTAGTTCTTTCTAAGCACAGTGTTAGAAGTCAGAGAGATCTGGATATAAAACAAAACCCTAAATTTAATAGCTATATGATCTTAGGCAAGTCAAATAACCTGCTTAAGATAGTTTTTTAATTTGTAAAATGGAGACGATAATACCTACATCATAGGATTGCTATGAGGATTAAATGTGATAACACATGTAAAGCTCTTGGTACTTGATTTGTAAAGTTCAATAAGTGATATTCCCTTTCCTCTCACCCCTTCCTATGATGATTTCCTGTTAACTCCAAAAGCCTACATATTTTCAACCTAAGAAGATAATTTTATTAGCTGTGTTGTTCAGATTTTCACCACTGCTTTGATGCCTCAGTCTATCTGGAAGAAAGCTTCACTTTCTTACAAATAAAATGCCTTAACTTTTCATATTACACAGATCATCTCACTATAGTTTACCCTTTCAAGCACACGCGCACACACACACACACACACAACAACAACAACAACAACAACCACTAAAGTACCCACCTCTTAACACCTCAAAAATGTCCAATGTCTGGCACAGATCCTCAGCATGCTCAATTCTTCTTTGGAGGCCTGTAGTCCATGTCTGTATTTTTTACTTTTGTGACTTATCCATCACAACATGGCTTTTATCCTCTGTTGCTGAGGCAGAAATGCCAAAAGGAGTCCATAGCCTTGGGTAAAATAGATTCAATGAGCAGAAGGCAAACCTATGATTAGAACTTGATAAATCGACCACTGAAACACCTTTTACCCATTTAAAGTTAAGTATTATAATTAGGGCACAAAGATATTTGGATCTCACAGGCTGAGATAATTGTGCCAATTATTCAATAATTGTGCTAATCTGAGATGTAGCACTTTTTTAGTCTTTTATACATATTGACCCTGAGAATATTCCACAGGCCTAAGAAAACTTATTTTGTGACCGTAAGATTCAGTTTAAAAGAATAATAGCTGAGTTATATGTATAATTTTGAATTATATTTACATAAATTACAAATAAGACTATTTTTAAAAAGAGAACCACAGATGAACAGTGAATTTAATAACCATTATCTACATTTTATTAAGTAGCAAAATGTTTTTATATAGATCTTATCCATGATTTACAGATTAGGTATGACTATTTCCTCTTTTTGACCTTTTATGCAAAACAAAATAAGATCATAAATCTTAAAAGACCACAATTTAGAATAAACATTAATTCCTAACTACTTGAAATACATCAGATTTTCACCATGAGGAGACTTTTCTGATCCAATTAAATGAAAAGACATATGTACAGTTTACAAACTTGACAGAAACATACAAACAAAAAAACACCTGAATAAGAAGAGCCATCCCTTTCTATCTCACTCCAAAATAAAATAATAAGTCATTTTGAGAACATTAAAATTAAAATGTTAATCATTACACTGATAACCACTTGATATTTTATAATTTTAGGTGGTTCAAAAAATGTTTTCTATCTAGAAGTCAGATCATTAAACTATGGTCCAGAAGCAAATTGTGGCCTAACAAAGGTTTGTGGAGGTTCTTATTATTCTTCCCACTCCACAGCTTTGGGAATTTTTCCATTCCTTAAAGATTACTTTAGTTGTATAGTGACTGTATTTTCCAAACTCCAAATCAGGCCATAAGTTCTGACACATGGGGGTTTTGTGTTGTTTCTTGGTGCTGGATGCAATCTAGGAGGTGTAACTTAGATATTAAAAAATTAGAATTTCAGGACACATGACATTAGGACCTCCTAAGGGTGTGTCAAGAAAATAAACAGATAAAAGAAAAAAATTAGAAGTTTTGGGATATTCTGAAGGCTTAGAAAGATAATGAAAGAGAATGTTTGAAATTAAGAATGCCTTGGAAAATTTGTTTACTGTGTGAATAAATCATCTGAGTCAAGGTTATTGGATAGGTAAAAAAAAAATCAGTTAAAATCGAGAAGAAACTGGAAATCTTATTTAATCTGAAATTATTAGAAAGTATATTCCATGGTTCATTCATACACAAGAAAATTTCAAAAAATGGTATGTAGCTTTATGTAAATATAATCATAACTCTCTATTAGATGTGTGACATGTTCAAGAGTGAGGTGCTTTCCTAGAGTTGATATTGTAGGGATCTTAGGGTTACTGCCCAACTTTGTATTATCAAGCTGTGGAAAAATCTATTCCCATGAAGCACTGAGATTTGAGCTGACCATGCTAGCAAACATGTTATTTGCAGCTCCTTGTTGCCACAACTATCATGATGAAAGAGTCAATCTTGTGTACCTATATCTGTTCCTGAGAAGTCCCCTTCTGATCCTACAGTTTTAATGATTTATAAATGCAATAACAATATCTTTGTGGGTAGTCAAGAAAAGGGTCACAAGTTGCCTCCACAGTCAGGAAGTACACTAAGAAGGTTCTGACTAGTTTTCATTCTGCTATACTGAGCTTCACGAGGACAGGGTGAGTGTTATTCATTTCTAAGGCCCTGTGCTAAACCTTGCATATAGTAGATGTTCAATAAATAACAGCTAAATAACTTGTAAGATCCTCAAGGAAGAAAGCATTTTCCTGATCTTCCAAGTTTTTCATTTTGTACTCATCATTGAATAGCAGCTATTTTTGTGAGTTGACTATCATCACATAGGCAAACATAATAAGAAGCAATGTTTTGAAGAAGCAGATAGAGTGAGTCACATAATAGTGCAAATGTAGATATGTATCCTAGAGGAGCTGTTACTCACCTACCTTTCTGTGTGACCAGGATGAAGGAGATAGGTGGTCATTATCTCTTCTTTCAAGTATCACCTGGGAAACCCATCATTCTTAAAAGAAGCAGTGGTATCTTGCAACTTGGCTATTTAGTCTATTTCCTTGTAGAGGGGTAAAAACAAACAGAATTGGTGACTGTTAATTACATAACCCCCTCAGAGTTAAATCTTTATAGAAGACAGAGGTAGTGAAAGGGATTAAAAAAGAATATTAGCCTTTGCTAGCTTTTCAGAAATTAATCCTCATGATTGTCTGACTAGACAGAGACAGAAAGAGAGAGGGAGGTAAACTAAAATAAACATGGCATAGCAATGACAAAGAACAAATACATATGGAAACACAACATGATCCAAAGAATTTTCTAAAATTCATAAGCAAGTTAAAGGGCTATCTGTCAGGACAGATGACCATCATGAAGAAGAAACGAGCTCCTATTAAAAGAAGAAGCCAAATAGGCTGGGAGCGGTGGCTCACGCCTGTAATCCCAGCACTTTGGGAGGCTGAGGCAGATCTCGAGATCAAGAGATCGAGACCATGGTGAAACTCCGTCTCTACTAAAAATACACACACACACACACACCCCCCCCAAAAAAAAAACAAAAAAACAAACAAACAAAAAAATAGCCTGGTGCGGTGGCGGGCGCCTGTAGTCCCAGCTACTCAGGAGGCTGAGGCAGGAGAATGCTATGAACCCGGGAGGCGCAGCTTGCAGTGAGCTGAGATTGTGCCACTGCCCTCCAGCCTGGGCAATAGAGAAAGACCCCATCAGAAGAAGAAGAAGAAGGAGGAGAAGGAGGAGGAGAAGAAGGAGGAGGAGGAGGAGGAAGAGGAGAATAAGAAGAAGGAGAAGAGAAGAAAAAGGAAGAAGAAGAGAAGCAGAAGAAGAAGAAGAAGGAATGAAGTATTAAGATATGTAACAAACCTGCACGTTATGCACATGTACCCTACAGCTTAAAGTTAATAATAATAATAATTTAAAAAAGAAAGAAAGAAGAAAGAAAGAAGAAGAAGAAGAGAAGCCGCACGAAATAAGCCTTCTTCCACCATTTGGAAGAAGGCACCTTCTCTTTTGTAGAACTGACAACACGAACCATTTTATCCCCTGATGGGAAAACACCTTCTTCTGCTTGGGCTTTTTTTTTTTTTTTTTTCTTTTTCTTTTTTTCATTCTATATTTACCAAGAAATATATCGCTGCGATAGACAGTTCATGTACAGTAAATCATCAATATAGTTTAAGCCAATAAAAGCCAAATTGAGACTATTAAGTTGCATAATGCTGTGTAACAGTCCAGTGCTTGACTTACTTAAATATATACATTCTTTGGTGAAATTAGCTTCATTCAGTTTTATGTTTTTACACAAAAATGTTTTTAAGAGGGACAGTAGACCAGAGAGAAGAAACCTGCAGAACTTTGGAGCCTAACTTACATGTGTTATTCATAATTATATTTTCTAACAATAAAGATATGCTCCAATTTGAAGGCATTATTTGAGATTGGCCATGCAAGAGTAAACATGGACTGGATATTTGAGTGCCCAAAATCTTTTATTAGGGGCAGGAACCCAAAACATATAATTCAAAGACTGAATATAAATATTTGTTAATGTGCTAAAAAATCAACAATCAGTCATGATGATATTCTTGTTACCCCTTATACTAGCCTTCTGTGTTTCACAGGAAGTAAATTATCAAACACAAATGAACCTTCCAAGAATGTCAAAATGTATCAGTTATTAGTTAAGGACTTAAAGAAAATGTTCTAAGGCTATAGCCTTCTTTAATATGATAATACATCTGAAGAAAGAAAAACTAAAATTTCAGAAAATATAATTTCATAGATGCAATCAGAAAAAAATCAAGAAGTTAAAAACCAATAAAATGTCATAAAATTATAGCTTACCAAATAATTCCATATATTTACCTCATTTGAGTTTTAGAACCAACATATAAAAAAGAGAAATATTATTTCCTTCATTGTCTAAATAAGAACAGTGACAAATTTTAATGTTACTGTACTTATTCTAACTCATGAAACTCCAGAACTAGAATACAGGTCTTCTGATCTCTAGTACACTTTTTCTTCTGCCTGCTAGAATGCATATACCACAATTTGTTTATTCATTCAACTGTGATGCACCTTTGAGTTATTTCCAGTTTTACAAATTAAGTTGCTATGATTATTTGTATACACACCTTTGTGTAGATATATTCTTTTATTTGCCTTGATTAACTATCTAAGAATGAAATGACTGATTCATATGGTAGTTGTATGGTTAACTTAAGAAGCTGCCAAACTGTTTTTCAAAGTAGTTGTACCAATTTGCTTTTCCATCTGCAGTGTATGTAGGAGATCTAATTGCTCCATATCCTTGCTATTGTTTTATATGGTCCATTTTTAAGCCATTGTAATAGGTAAGTGGTGGTATCTCATTGTGGTTTTAATTTGCATTCCCCTAATAGCTAATGATACTGAGCTTCTTTTCCTGCATTTATTTGCTATTGCTATCTCTATTTATGGTGAAGTGTCTATTCAAATATTTTATGTTTTTAAAATTTTCTTATATTGTCAAATTTTCACAGAACAAGTTTATTGAAGTTTAATTCATGAAAATACAATTCATCCAGTTAAAGTACAAGAATACCTTGGAAATACTGCAAATTCAGTTCCCGACCACTACAAGAAAGCAAATATTGTAACAAAGTAAATATCACAATAAAGTGAGTCACATGATTTTTTAGTTTTCTATTTCATATAAAAGTTATGTTTACACTATATTGTAGTCTATTAAGTGTGCAATAGCATTATGTCTAAATAATGCACATTCTTTTATTGAAAATATTTTAGTGCTTGCCTGAAAATGCTAACAATCATCCAAACCTTCAGCGAGTTGTAATCTTTTTACTGATGGAGGGTCTTGCCTTGATGTTTATGGCTGCTGAATGATCAGGGTGGTGGCACGTAAAGAATGAGGTAGCTGTGGCAATTTCTTAAATCTAGAAAACAGTAAAGTTTGCCAAATTCATTGACCCTTTCTTTTATACCATTTCTCTACATCATGTGATTCTGGTTGATAACATTTTACCCACAGCAGTACTTCTTTTAAAATTAAAGTCTATGCTCTCAAACCCCACCACTGCTTTATCAAATATGTTTATGTAATATTATAAGTCCTTTGTTGTCATTTCAACAATGTTCACAGCATCTCCACCAGGAGTAGATTCTATTCCAAGAAACTGCTTTCTTTGCTTATACATAAAAAGCAATTCCTCATTTATTAAAAAGTTTTAACATGAGACTGCAGCAATTCTGTTACATCTTCTGGCTCCACTTCTAATTCTAGTTTTCTTGCTATTTCCACCAAATCTGCAGTTATTTGTTCCAGTGAAGTCTTGAACCCCTCAAAGTCATCCTTGGGGTTGGAATCAACTTATTCCAAACTCCCGTTAATGTTGATATTTTGACCTCCTCCCATGAAGTGCAAATGTTCTTAATGGCAGCGAGAATGATGAATCACTTCTAGAAGGTATAATTTACTTTTTCCCAGATTCATCAGAGGAGTCATTATCTCTGGCAACCATAGTCTTACGAAATGTATTTCTTAAATAACAGGACTTGAAAATCAATATTACTCTTTGATCTCTAGGCTGCAGGATGAATGCCACATTAGCAGGAAAGAAAACAACATCAATCTTCTTATACATCTCCATCAGAGCTCTTGTGTGACTAGATGCATATTCAATGAGAAGTAATATTTTGAAAGGATTTTTTTTTCTGAGGTGGTCTTAACAGTAGGCCTAAAATATTCAATAAACCATGCTGTAGTGCTGTAAACAGATATGCTGTTATATGGACTTGGTTGTTCCATTTATAGAGAATAAGCAGAGTAGATTTAGCATAATTCTTAAGGGCACTAGAATTTTCAAAATGGAAAATGAGCATTGGCTTCAAATTAAAGTAATCAGCTGCATTATCCCCTAACAAACAAGTCAGGCTGTCCTTTGAAGTTTTAAAGCCAGGAAATGATTTCTCCTGTCTAGTTATATAAGTCCTAGGTGGCAGCTTCTTTCTGTACAGGGCTGTTTTGTCTACACTGAAAATCTGTTGAAAAGCTTGCCTTCTGCTAGCTTTTGAATTTGCTTGCTCTTGCTTCTCTAGTTCTTTTAATTGTGATGTTAGGGTGTCAATTTTAGATCTTTCCTGCTTTCTCTTGTAGGCATTTAGTGCTATAAATTTCCCTCTACACATTGCTTTAAATGTGTCCCAGAGATTCTCATACATTGTCTCTTTGTCCTCATTGGTTTCAAAGAACATCTTTATTTCTGCCTTAATTTCGTTATTTACCCAGTAGTCATTCAGGAGCAGGTTGTTCAGTTTCCATGTAGTTGTGCAGTTTTGAGTGAGCTTCTTAATCCTGAGTTCTAATTTGATTGCACTGTGGTCTGAGAGACTGTCTTTTATGATTTCCGTTCTTTTGCATTTGCTGAGGAGTGTTTTACTTCCAATTATGTGGTCAATTTTGGAATAAGTGCGATGTGGTGCTGAGAAGAATGTATATTCTGCTGATTTTGGGTGGAGAGCTCTATAGATGTCTATTAGGTCCGCTTGGTCCAGAGCCGTGTTCAAGTCCTGAATATCATTGTTGAGTTTCTGTCTCATTGATCTGTCTCATATTGACAGTGGGGTGTTAAAGTCCCCTACTATTATTGTGTGGGATTCTAAGTCTTTTTGTAGATCTTAAGAACTTGCTTCATGAATCTGGGTACTCTTGTATTGGGTGCATATATATTTAGGATAGTTAGCTCTTCTTGCTGCATTGATCCCTTTATCATTATGTAATGCCCTTCTTTGTCTTTTTTGATCTTTGTTGGTTTAATGTTTGCTTTATCAGAGACTAGGATTGCAACTACTGCTTTTGTTTTTCTTTCCATTTGCTTGGTTAATATTCATCCATCCCTTTATTTTGAGCCTATGTGTGTCTTTGCACATAAGATGGGTCTCCTGAATACTGCACACCAATGGGTCTTGACTTTTTATCCAATTTGCCAGTCTATATCTTTTAATTGGGGCATTTAGCCCATTTACATTTAAGGTTAATAT